CCGTCGACTCGGCGATATCTTCTTGCCGATGGCAATTTGCCGTTCGAGAAGAAGTACCGGGACCGAGCCAGTCCTCCATTCTGGACCCCTCAACCCCGAACGGTGTAATCCACGGATCAGAAACGTACCGGAGAAATCTCCCTTCGGCGAATGTATTCCCGAAAAATTCACCAAATCGAATAACGTGGGCAGATTATAGCCCCGCCGATCGAACTTCCCCACTTCCGATATTTGATTCATCCTCCAGGACCAAATCCTGGGATTGTTTCGACCGTGCATCGAGTGACGCTCTTTCCTCGTCGGGGAGGCTATCCATTATTTATGTGTTATGAAAGGATCTCGTTCCTGAATCATCTTCGTTTTACGCTTAAGGATAAAAACTTCAAAGATACGTAGACAAACTTGAAATAATACCATTGTCTCTCGAACGCGGCCATCGACGACCCAATAAATAAAAAGCAACGTAGCTCGAAAGTATTGCCTCCGAATCGCGTTGAATGTTTTCCCAGTATCTAATTCACCGAATTGGTTTTACAATCTCCGGTCCCGAAAAATCGCGCCACGACCGCGTCTCCGGGGGGACGACTATTTCAGCCTTGGATTACCGTGTCCTTCAGCGATCCGGCTTCATTTCTGCGACGAAATTAAACAGAAGCAGCTGGGAATTACGTAAACCGACATGGCGTCGTTTCTGGGCTCCATAAAAGATCCGAGCGCCGTGTAAGGTGAAAAGCTGACGCGACCACTCGAGAGTCTCCACCTGTGAAAGGCGTGGATATCGTTGCACGCACAACTTTTCCCCAGCCAATTGGCTCGCGCATAAAATACCATTCGGCCATTCTGTTCGAGAAACGTTCCTATTATCGAGCGTTACCCAAGCGTTTCAATATTTGTTAACGCTGCCTCTTAAGTGGCTTTCAATTGGCCGCGTTGTTCCGTTGGTTATTTTAACAGCACGGATTTCATCGCCTTCTGTTTCGACCAGACTTCGCCGAGTAACCTGCCAAGATGGTTTGTAAACATACTGGTCCCATAATCCTAGACTTCTCCGCGAAAAACTGGAAATTGGTCTGGGCGTCTGATTATTTATAGTACAATCTACTTGCTGTACCCGCGCCTGGATTTATAAGGAGATTATACTATGATCGATCAGACCCCTAGTCTGACGTTTCATCTCCGCACTGTACACTCGCATATACGTGCATAAAAAATTTGCTTTGAATAGTCAAACTGTACTTGGAGTATCCTGGAACTTGTTTGATTGAATTTCATAATTTTTTGAAAAGTTTAATTAATCGAGCTTCAAGTTGTGGCTTGTTAATAAAAAACAAGTAAAAGGATTTCACAGAGTAGCCTGCAACGAGAGTTCATAAACGTTCCGGACTTTAAATCCTAAACGACCAAGTATTTTGCGAGCCAACTGGCCACGCTCCGCAGCTTTTACGCTCATTCCTATTTTTTTTTTCTTTTAACGTGGAACTTTTGTATCCGGTCGTCCAAAAGGTTGCCGACCCATGGTGCAGATCAATGTTTCTCAACATTTTTTTGCTCGTAACCCTCTTCTGGACCGAGGTTCGGCGATAAATTTAATTTTATATTCCTTTCTTTATAAATACCACGAGTACCATCATTATTATTGGTCGACAATCTGCCACAAAGTAACGATTAGCACGCGACTATGGCGACCAATCCATGGAAAGCCTACTATGTACATTTACGACCATCTGGACACCAAGCTGGTCCATCAACATTGCATGGACCGGGCGGATTAACCCCCGAATGGCAATGAGAATTCGATATTAGCACGAATCACAAATTCCTACTTCCAGTGAAAAATAATTCGATCGACCCATGCATGGATATATCAATTTCCATATCGAACGATTTACTATCGTAATTCCTTTAAAAAAAGGTATCGAGGGAAAGGATGAAACTAACGAATCGACCCGATAGACACCGAATGTAAAATGAGAGGCGTAGTATTTCTGATTAAAGATTTATTCCCGTAATAAAATTCCGATCTCATTATGGCGTTCCTCGAGCATGATCGCGACGATATTTGCAAATCATCGTAAAATTGAACCGTCGAATGAATATATAAATTGGTTCGTTAGTCCGATAGTCGCATTGATATGCATTACTGGATCCTATACGGACAATCTGACCATATGGCGAATCGCAATACGAAAGACAGTCACGCCATTTCCATCGGATATAAACTCATCAATCGTATATCAATGGCGCATCAAGTACATCGAGTCCCATCAGCCGTTCTTTTCTAACGTGTTTCAATACGATCTCTCGGCCAGGGAACCAATTATCCGCGGCTTTGATTTTCAAGCTACTAAAAGCGATCCGTGCTGCCTTTCAATCGCAGACGGCGAAAAAACGACCGAATCGGCTTCTCGCAATTAGAGTCGCGAGTGATTCAAACAAGACCGCCGCGAACCGAAAAACCAACGCAAACATTTCGGCCGTGATTGGTCAATTACTTCTCCATACTTCAACCCCAATAACAGGGTACATAACTAACAGGCCACCTAAAGCTTGCTTAGTTAATTAAACACGGCTGTATCGACACGTGCAACGAACGCGAGCCGATTTCCAATCGTGGCTGATTTACGATTCATAATCGACACAGAGCGTGCCGTATTAGCGAAATAACGGTGTCTCATTAATCAGACTCGGTACATTGGCAAACCAAGTAAATTGATTTCGACCAGATACTCGCGCGAAAGTACATGGTCTGGGCATTTCCTGGTGTCGATTCAATTCACGCCGGATATTTAGCGGTTTCCTTGCTTCATCGTTACAATGCGATTTATAGTCCTTTCTTCTCGACTATGTACATTGGAACTCGTTGATCTTAATTTTTCCTGGAAATTTGGTTACACCAGTCCTTTGTTTCAGTGAGAAATAAATTCCTCAGAAAAATCGAGGATCTCCGAAGAATCTCTGCCGTATGTTCGACTAGCCAAAACGTTGAAACAGAGGAGTAATTTAACCAAATTTACGAGAACGGTAGAAGACAAATTCTAGATACGCCGAATAAGGGCAGACAGTCGAAAAGAAAGAAATGCATCATAAATCATGTCGCAATGATAAAAGGAGAAAACCACTAGGGGTCCAGAAAGTATGAGTTTAGAATGGGTTGACAGAATAGGACGAGGAGAAAATAAAAGACACGAACGTGGAAAAGCATAAGTAAATATGCTGTGCAGATGGATTCGTCTGTGCTACCTTATTTAGAGGTTCGTTGCTTCAAAATCTCCCGTTTGCTCGTTTAATTCATCTAATCTGCAATACAAATATTCCGCCACCGAATTTCAATTTCCCGGTACCTATGTGCCAGTCTACTATTGTTCAATTTATAATCTAATAATAAATGATGATAGAAAGATGCTTCGAACTTCCAATGTCTGATAATTGTTTACGGTGGAACAGCAACGTTTCGATCGGCGTAAATTTATCGATAATTGGAACGTTTGCCTTACATTTAAATAAGTAAATACGAAATCGTTACTCGAGAATGGCTGCACAGAAGCGGCGCGTGCTACGGTGTAATTGCTTTAGTTTCGGTAACGAGACCGGAACGCGTATCTCCGAACGACCGGATTGGTTTAAATCGTGAATAGTCGAGGGTTGTATTTTGCCGGTTATACGATACAACCGCCATAAGTGCGTGGTCGGTTGTTGCAGGTGGTTCCCTGCGAGATCCGCAACGATAAATTTCACTCTTAACGATCCCCACCCACTTTGTAACGGGATTCCAACATTGGGCGTGTATCGAAATGAAAACTAATGATCTGCCATTGAATTCGGAAGACCGGGTCGACGACTTCCGAGACTGCACGGGACGGATCGTGCGTCGTCCTGCCATCGATTTTCCATAAATGACCGATGCCGTCAAATCCGCTGGAAATACCATTCGACCGGATCGCAGCCACCAAAACTTCTCCTATTTTGCGGTTGACAGGCTTCACGATTTACGCGCCAACGATCCCGCGTCTGCCTTCGAGAACCTTTAATAAAGCCTTTGTCGCGATATTCCCGACGCAAAATGCTCTCTGACGCTCCAATGACTTACAATCTCCTTTTCGCGATTCGGATCACCGACTCCGATATCTTCCCCTTGTTCGAACGCTCCAAAGTTTCTACTTGTAAATTGCCTGCTTAACTTTAGGCGTTCGAACGCCCGAACCTTCCATTAATTTTAATATTTTACATACAACAAAAACGGTCCACGAATAATGATGGTCGCTCTACTTTGTTTAACGTCTTTATCGAAGAAACCATTATACGTCAGTACCATAAAATATAGCACCCAGAAACGCGTCCGTCCAATAATCACTATTTCTACTTGCGTCCTAGTCCAAGTAGTAAAATTTTATTCTCTGCATTCGATTTGCTTTCTCGCGTAAAATCAACCCCTTCTCGATTGCACCATCGATATTATTCACAAAATGTCACAGATCTTTTAAATCGTGATTAATTTGCCAAGAAATCTGAAATTATAAATGGCGAGCTGGAACATGGGGGAGGCAACTTTATTCGCGTATTTTCATATCCGTGACCGCCAAGGGTAATCGAACGTTCCATATTATAAAAGCATCCTGACCATGTGTACAACCCCTCAGGTAACCGATACTTTTTTATCGTGCATTATTTTCGCAACGTGCACACAGTCGGTGAATCTAAATTCGATTCCGCGGCGTTTCCTGTGTGTTTCCCCGGGTTCTTTACAAATTGCTCGTTTTCTCCATTTAATAACCCTGTCACGAAGGGAATTTCTCGCAGAGCTCTTGTTCTAGATCTCCCAGGGAAGAACGGGCACCGTTAACGAGGTCTCGCGAACCAAGAAAGAATATTATATGACGAGTCCTCGACTTAGGATGGCTTTATATTTTTCTATAGTAACCTCGTCTTTCAAAGTTTCGCACTTCCAATCCGATCCATCAAATTCATGATCAATTTACGCTTATTCGTTTCTTTTGTTCCAGACGGAACAATTCACGGTTTTGTGGTTGCTGTTCGTCATGATAGTCGTGGGTAATATCGCGGTGCTGTTTGGTCTCTTGTGGGGAAAACGACGAAAAACGCGGATGGACTTTTTCATCAAGCAACTGGCACTCGCAGGTAAGTCTGACCATTTATTTATTGCTAAGAGATTGCAACGCTGTTAACGATAGTTACGAAACTTTAGCTCTTTGTTGAATTACGACTTCGATTAACGATGTAGCGCAAGTATCGCGTGTCTTGATCTATCGGGTACACAATGCTCCTGTCTGAGAACTCGAACGAACTTCGAGTCGAGATTGATCGTCGAACTTCTTCTCGCGAAGATAGCGCCTAAACGCTCGAAAAAAGGTCAGATAAATATGATGCACGAGGCACAAAACGTCCCAGTCCTGGAAAAACCAGATATGGTCTCCTTTAATTATTAATCCATGCAAAACACGACTCTTTGGTCAGTTTGCCTCCGAGCATCCCATTAGTAACTCTTATTCCCTCATATATTCAGACTATTTACAGTACGATGGTTTCACTTCCAGACGAGTAATCTGCCCTTTATAATACTCAATTAGAGAAACAAAATCCTGCAACGGTGAGAATTCTCTTCTCCGCTAATTATCTGAACGCATTAACGTAGAAGTAACTATCCGTTTTGAAACTCGTGTGTTTCCAGATTGGATGAAATATATTATCGACGTATGGGTCGATACGTGCGTTTCAATTAAATAGTGTCACGTTTAACTAGCTCGTAAAATTGCCCGACGATTCGCTGAAGATGTTATCGTGGATTTAGTTTATACACGATCCTATCGAGTACCGTGTTTATGCGACACGTCGTAAACGGACTTCTAGAAAACATGGAAACAAAGACGCGGTTATGTCACCGGATGAGAACAATACGCGCGTAAAGTAAAATCGTAGTAAGATGTCAAACGTGTCGTAAAGCGACGAAGGTTACTTTTGACTCGCGTAACTTCGCCGTCGAAGTTCCTCAAACGCTGTCGTCTCGAGCGCAAGTTCAGAGGAATATTGCTTCCAATGGCGACTTCGTCGAATGCACCATGGTTGGAGTATGTTTAACGAAGTGCTGCATTAACGATCGACCGAATATAATTATGCTGGAGATGGACGAAAGTCGAGTTATGGAGCCGTAAAGATTTATAAGCGTGCTTTACGCTATTGTACAAACCATAACAAGTTGTTGTCTGCGTATGATTGACGTCATGACGACATAGTTGAAATTGAACATTATTCCAGTTAAATAATAGAAGACGGCACGGAACCAACGATGGAGTTTAAAAGGGACTTCTAAATATTTATTTGTAAATTTTGTAATATAATTACTATCCCAAAGCACGGAAGAACATTGTTTTGTATTTTATATGAAACTTAATACATATTTCTGTAGAAAATAATATTCTCGTAGACTTTTTTGTCGGACACCTTTTCCCGCGGAATGAAAAAGCATAGTCTTGTCGAGCTAATGAAGTATATTTAATGTTGTCGGCGACCTGGATTTTCACCACATTCAAGATACTAGCTTTATAAAAGAGATTACGAAAGGAAACATAAAAGTATGAAAATACAGAAAGAGAATAAAGATGTAATTATAATATTTCAAGCGTTAATTAACGCATCTGCATAAAAAGGACAAGTTTCCAAATATTAGCACAGAAATTGAGCATGAATAGCAAAGTGTACACGATAATTAATAATCGTTGTAATGTAATAGTCGGTGTTCGAATAATGGCGGAAGTAACTGTACGCTGACGTTTATCAGCTACGCTTACTTTGATTGCTCTTCACTCTTTTGAAAACCTTTCTCTTTGTTCCCTTTCAGTTTGTTTGTCTCGTATTGTATTTCCTGTGGCATCCTTCCGAAGCACATCCATTGTGTGTGCCGAGAAACCTTGCTTGCGAGCAGAAGCCGAGACAAAGACGCGGTCGTAACTTCGAGATTGTCTTCGTTTGTTCTACACGAACCGCCCAGCGTCCGCTGTCGCGCCGTTCAACCCACAATTGAAATCACACACCTTCGCAAATACGGAAGTAATTGTACGGTAGTGTAATAATTGCTACTATCGACCAAGTATTACACAAATGTTCCAATTTACAAGTTTCAATTCTGTTCTCGTTCGCGTTCTAACATTCCAATCTTGCCCGTTTATTAGACTCTGACAAACTATTCTGAACGTTGACGAATACAGTTTGATAATTATTAATAACACCAACGATGAAAAAAGCTAAAACGCGAACGTATATTTTTGGTCCAACGTTGTGTACGTGTCCATCATGTTGTATAACTATGATCTACGAGTCAAAACAAGGGAAAAGTGAAGGCAAACACAGGTTCGAAAGCGTTTTCCCCCGTTTGGCCTTATTTTCTCCAAGAGCGTCGTATTGATTTCCCAGACGATGCTCGAGGAAAGCTGTTTGCGAGTGCAAAAACGCGCCAAAATATAAGCGTTGTTTTACAAGCCGTATGAAATCGACGAACGTAAACCCGGTTGTCCATCCGATGACAATGGCCTCTCCGGTACTCGTAAAAGCTGTAGAAACGACGCGTAAACGTGGCCGTGTATCGGAAAACGAGTATCGTGGCACGAGTTCCTGGTTTTCGCACGAGAAGCGGTCGCGTAAGTGAGAACACGTCGTCGCGAAGAGGAAAAGAGGCCAAAGGTGAAATCGTTCGCGCATTGCTCTCGCTGTTACAGCGACTTCCGCTTTATCGGGCCCGGAGGAGGGCGCGTTTATTGTTTCGCGGATAGCTGATCAAACAGGGAAAACATTCGACGTCCATGATCGCCACGATGAAAAAATATAATAGCTTATTGAATCTTTAAATCGCACCAATAACGCATACACCGTGAATATTGTAATTAACGTACTCATTAAAGTATTCCGTTCAAATAATTCTTAAGATTGAAACGATATTGGAGCAACGCGTTGGAAAATATTATAAATTTAAATCGACGTCCAGCCTGAAATTTCGATTCATAGCTTGCGAATAGAATTTGCCTAATTTCGCCCTAGCGGGAGCCGCACGACAGTCTATTCGAAATCGAGGAAAGTCAATTGGTTCGGTTGATGTGCAACGAAACGAGGAATTTACGCGAGATCGAATTGTCGCTCGTTTCACGGATTAACGCAATCAACGGCGGTATCGAATGGGGCATTCGCAGTGAAATTAGAAGACGAGGCGGTTGCAATTAAGATACTGAAACGAGCGACCGACAGTCGCCAGAAATCTGTATAACGCCCTCGCTGGAGGACGAATAACGACTCGGTTTCTGCTTTGAAAGAAAAGCGAACAGAGGTCCCGCGGACGCGTCGTAAAATTCAAATTCGCGAACGGTTCGTGAGCGACCGAGAACGATAAATTACACGGAACATAAAGGCGTAAAATTTCAATCACCTTTTGAGAGCTTACTACGAGCTCAAAGAGATCGATTAATTCTTTCATCGATGCCTGTACGGTGACGATCGGTCACCGTAATCCGCGTTATTATAGGACGATAAGTTCCAATCGAATTTCAATATCGGGGGAAATATACGGCCCGGTGCGCCCTTCGCGAGAGGACCCTTAGGGTGAAATCTTCTCACTCTCGGGGTTCTTTTTTGCTTTATGACGGTCAGAATGGCGCATCCAGGCTCGCAACACTCGTTGCGATATCCTATAAACCGCTTTTTTATAGGCCTCCTCTCATCGCGCGGCAAGTCAAACGGCTCGTAAGATATGTGGTCGTTCTTTCACTCGTCGAAAGTCTACAAACATGATACGTTCGTCATATTATTTTATTTAACGTGTCAACTAGGTCTACGATAGTTTGAATGAATTGCCTTATGTCGAAGAATCATTATCCTTCGTGTTATTGCTCGCCGTAATGCTTGTACTTAGAGTACTCGTGTGCAAACTCTTCCTTGGAACAACGACACTTTGAGCACCGTCTTCTAGGAACATTTGTACGATTTGTTATGTGTGCGATATTTGAATATTCCAGAAAAAAGTTTTATTCCCGGCAGATTATTGTTCTTAAAGAGGAATAAATTCTATTTCTTTTGGAACGTCAATGAGCTTAATTGCGTCGCGATCCTTACCGCGAAATTCGCAGTTAACGAACGGGTCGGTTTTTCCAGACAGGCCGGCTTAAGTTCCGCGCGTTTATTCATTCGTAAATTAAGTGGATGCCGGGTGGAGGCTGTTTAATAATAGCGTCACGATGAATCATCTCGCCACGTTGCATTGCATATCTTGTTGCAGATTTATTGGTCGGCCTGATATCCGTCCTAACGGATATAATTTGGAGAATGACGGTGACCTGGCACGCGGGAAACGTTGCCTGCAAGCTGATAAGGTTCATGCAAGCTGTCGTTACGTATAGCTCTACCTATGTTCTGGTCGCGCTGTCAATTGACAGATACGATGCCATCACCAGACCTATGAACTTCACTGGCAGGTGTAAGTACATCAATTAATCGATTAATCGTGTCGAGGTAATTGACAAGGCGAGGACAAGACCTCTCGATTTAAGCTTTGTTATTCCTTGAAATATAATTTTAGCCTCATTCAACAAGTGTGTGTCGTGATTTATATTTTTGTACAGAACAAGACAGATAGAATATTTTTGTCTTTACCGATGTAAAATTGATCAAAGATCCAGAATGAATTTGGAAAGTTTTTCAACGCGTCTAACTAATAATTCGGACTACCCGCCATGAAACGCTGGTGTACGACTATCGTGAAGTAAATCGTTGCTTCGATCGAGCCTGTAAGGCCATAAAGTTGCGATAGAATTACGTCGTCCCGCTCAGCGACGCAATTTCTGATTTCAGTATCGGGTAAACGATATCGTGGCTCCACGAACGATCGCGATTTTCCATTTTCCGCCGCGAACGAAGCTCAGGGGAATCGTGTTCGTAATATCTGGGGGGTGATCGTCATCGTTATCTTCGATTGGTTCGCAAGCGCATTAAGGGATTGGCGGTGTACGCCGTCCGGAGGAGGACACTCGACTTTTCAACACCATCGAGAACAAACAGTGATTCAGAAGTCTCGGAGGTTTCCCGTAGAGATAGTACTACGGTTTTTCCTTCTTTCGCGTACGTCTACAGCCGCGGTCGTATTTACTGCTAGCCAAGAAATCGCTTCCAGCCGCCGGACTACCGAGATCGTAACGGTTTTATTTTCATTTTATTCCATCGAGCTATAACGTCGCCCCAAGTACAGTAAGAAAGGCCACGGCGGTGACAGGATGGGTCGAAAAGGTAAAAAACCGTAACGAAATAAAACGCGAGTAACGTTCGCGACGTTAACGACGATCCACGTCATCGATGACGCCTCAAATTCGACGAAAGTAAAAATGGTAACTAAGAAACGTAGATTTTAATACTATCCACAATTTGTACCGAATGTTCGATAAGACATCACTGTTTGAGAAAAGAAATTAATTTAAAATTTAATAAAAACATGGATCACGATTCAGAGTTTTGTTCCTTCTCGCGGACGTGTTTCCATTGAAAATAATGAAATTTCTGCGGCATGAATATTAATAAATCATCGTTTAAAGTAATTAGCTCCGGTCGACATGAATATTAATCACGGACCATTTGAAATCGTTAAAATTCCATTTGTACGAATATTGATTAATTTAGCCCGAGCAACGGAGCAACAATAATTGATGAAAACGGTTTCAGTAATTACCGTAGTTTCACGATGTATATTCAGTGTGTATATTCGATACTTTTCAATAAATTTATTCAATGTTCTGCCCTTTTAAAAATTATTGTACGCTTTTCTAGTGTTTCTGGAAACTAATTGAAATATATTGCTCAACAAATTTGTATTTCAAAAGTGCCTACGTCTCGATTATTCTCTTGGTCGGCAGCCAAAATGGCGTTTCCAGAGCTCCGCGACACTGCAGTTAATTATCCGAGCTGATTTAGATATAATCTCGAAGAGCTGTATCAAAGGATACTGTTCCATAGAAACTCATTAACGCTCACGGCGCTAAAGTTTGAATTTACGCGAAATTTTGCCTGTCGTTGACAGAGCGGTTTATTTTACACGTTTGGAAAGAGGTACTATAAGAGTGACATTAATACCGATCTTGTTAATAACAGATAAAAGTGCATCGTTAGGTACGAGCGACGAACAGCTTCGTAGAAGTTTGTTTATTACAGCGGCACGCGTAGTTCTAGTCCCTTTTATTATTTTTCTCTATTACACGACAGCTGTGGCGGAACTTTCGCGAACACCACGCCTAAGGAAACTTCCGTGGACGTCGAAAACTTTTGGAATCCACAGACCTACATTTGTTCATTCACCTTGGAGCGCAGTATGCGAACATTCAAGTCGTTTATAAAATTGCTATACCCTTCATCCCCCTCTGAGCAATATCTGTTGAAGTTAAATCGAAATCTTATTCCTATTTGTATTATCGTTCTTCGTTTACTTGCTTTAATTTAGCTTTTCTCTTCTTTATAACTGTTTTGTATTGTATGGGTTATAATATACTCCGAGAAGAACCGTTTATAGATCGCCTAAGTATAAAAACATGATATGCTTGTACAGACTAGGATCTTGTATATACCACGAGCTTTCGCATTTATGTAAATTTTTAATAACAGGGTGGAGAGCCAGAGCTTTGGTGATAGGCGCTTGGACTCTATCAACGCTGTTCAGTGCCCCAATTATTTTCTTGTACGAGGAAAAACTTATACAGGTAGTGAATATCTTATCGTGCATCATAATACATTCTGCGGAAAAGCGGATTTTCTTGCGTGTACTACCAAGCCAGTGTATTCCAACTTTTTCTCAATCCTATACCGCGTCGACTCCAATATCTTGTTCGTACAAAACAAAAACTCCCGCTAGCATAAACAAAATGGTATTTTGAATTTTCTACTCATCCTTAAAATATTCAACATTGCCCCAAAGGTTGGAAAACACTGAGCTAAATATCGGAATTTGTCGAAAGTATGTTGCAATTTGTTTGCAACGCGTTCAGCGACGAGTAAAAGTGTGATAACTCACGTTGACGAATTTATTATACTATTTAATAATTGCCTACACTTTTTCTCGTCGTTGTAACTAAAAAGAAGCGACTCGTGTAGACCGAGGGTTAGCAAACTTTTATGATAAACGACCGAATAATAAAAACTTTGGATTCTGCCAGACTACGAGATAATATCGAGGACATTATCTACATACTTATATGTATGTAGGATGAAGAACATAATCTTTCTAGAATAACCTAATGTAATCAAGTTATTCTTTGCTCAACTCTGGGGTTCAAACGACAAGTTCCTCGACCGCGTATTTTCTATGCATCGGTCGTATTACGAGCATAATCGGGCAGGATGGTTTGCCAGGGGAAGACGCAATGTTGGATAGAGCTGCCCACCCAGACGCAGTGGAAGATCTACATGAGCCTGGTCAGCTTTACCCTCTTTATAGCCCCAGCGCTGATAATAGGGGGTTGTTATGCTGTGATCGTAGCTACTATATGGTCTCAAGGAGGGGTACTACGTCAGGGGCCTACCAGGGACACCAGAAGAGCGTCCTCGAGAGGGCTTATTCCCAGAGCGAAAGTCAAGACGGTCAAGATGACCCTCGTCATAGTATTTGGTGAGTAAACGATCCCAATTACAAGCTTTGCTTTCGTTCTACTTTATATTTTACGCGTCCACTTTTAAAGCATACAGCAATAAATAATTTACCACGCTCGAATCAGAGAGACCCGTTAACCGTACAAACGGTTCGATACGAAGGTATAAAAATTTAATGAACGCAAGTAGTTCAGCTCGGGAATGACCAAAGTTATCCAACAATTGAAACTGCGTTTATCGGGAGCAATAAAACGTAACAACGACCCTTCCCATCCCTGCGATAAGCGAAATTGGTTTTCGAGATCTCTGGTACTTGTACAGATCGCTGGATCGCCATAGCGCGTAAAATCGCTGATCTATGAATCCATATTTTTTTCTTCCGGTAGGGAATTAAACGCGAAACGAAGCCAGAAACGTAGCCCGGATCGTAATAAACGAAAATTACTCGGGGCGTCCAATATTAGCTAATAATGTTAGCAATCGAGTGGAATTATTTGCACAGTAACTAACCTCAGGATGTTCCGGAAGATGACGACGCCAACGATATTTGTCAAACACTCTGTAGAAGCCTCAAGTACTTGGCGTTCAAAGGACTATCGTCTTTCCTTTTATTCCACAAGGGAACGGTTTTACGTGTACCAGGAATGGCTTGGTCTAATCAGATTCGCTACCCGACGATGCCACACGATGGAATTTCTTCCTTTTTTTTAGCTGACGGAGGCCGTTTCGTTTGAAACGTATCAAAGAACGGAGATCTAACCGAACAACTCTCTCCGGTGCGCTCTTTGAAACAGAGAAAACTAGCAAAATGAATACGTATAATTTTCTTACGAAAGAACAACCACGGATGAATCTACTGCTAAGGGAATAATGGAAACGTTATTATATTTTTGGTGAAGAATTTTCTTCTCGAAAGTGCGTTTTTCTTTTAAGTAGACGTTAAACTCTATTTTGTAAAACGACTATTACATTTCTGGAGCTTTTAAAGAAGTCAACACTTCGTCCAAGCAAACCAGAATCCTTGTATCAACACAGATGCAAATGTTGCGTTTTCTGTAATAGAAGCAAGATGGTCGTTTCACGCGCACCAAAAGTTTCATAGTTTCCAACCACTCTGTCTATCGCAACAAATGGATAGCACAGAGCTACTTGGCAGCTTGCTATTTCACGATGTTTACGGTAGAAAGTATCGTTTTCCGCCTCTGTTACCATTTATCCCATCGCGACGGGAATTAAGTGGTTCGCGTTTGCCGAAATATGCGCGCTGTGTGCGGGTTCGACGAACCCTCGAGCACGTCCAACGCCTCTTCCGGAACAACAATAAACGCGTTCATCGATTACGAAGAGAAATCGCACAATGCACTTCGTTCATGTAAGTCATTCCTGAGTTTCTGCGCGTTCCGATCGGCCATTAACCGTCCGCGGAGTCACTTTCCAGACAAGAGATCTTTAAGGAGACCCGCCATCTCGAACAGTCGAAAAATAAGTCAAGATCGAGAACTTTTTCGTAGATAACTACGAAACGAAACGTTTAGATTTTTTTAAAGGTAAGAATGTCGTTCAAGAATATAGTTCAAAGTTCGTTAATTTGGTAGTTATTCGTCTTTTGTCCGGTCGAGTACCTCCGCGAGAAGGTTGACTGCTTCCGGTTATTTCTTGGCCGTCACCTCACGTCGGAGGACCAAAGATAAACTTTTATCCGATTCTCCGATGTGTCTTGTTTAATCAGTCGTTTTATAGTACTCTTGTCTGCTCGAGGGTGAAATAGTGGGCGGTGCGAGTGCTAAAATTCTTATCGAAACGTTCACGAGTCGTTTCGATTTAAAGCAAAATCGATTCGCGTTCCTCGAAATAAATGTTCACAAAATAGAGGGTGAGTCGTATGAAGTTTTTTTTAAATTAAATAGCGCGCAGGGGTTAATTTACAGAAACAAATTTACGAAAAAGGAAGCAAAGAAACTGCGCGATCTTCCATCGTTACTGGCGGAAATTAATTTACAAGTCCCAGCATCACCCAAACGTTTCCGTTCGCGATTTTTTCCATTTTCTCGGAAGCGCCATTTATCCGGATTCGACGAAAACGAAAAAGGGACGGAACGAGATTTACTTTCAGTTTCCTTCAAGTTTTAAAAATGTTTAAAAAGTGATGAACACCTACTGTTTGAAATATCTTTATTCGATATGTTCTTCTCCTATCCTTCGGACAGCTTCATAATTTCGTATTCATAAAATTCTCTTTTTTCCCGCGCAAAAAGCTGATGCAAGAGCCGTTTAATGGCTTTCTCGGAATCGAAGCTCTGCCCATTGAGAGAATTTTACAGAGATCAAAGAACGGACGGTTATCCGAAGGAACAAGGTCCATTGAATATAAAGGATAAGGTAGGATCTCGGCTCCGGGATTCTACCTTCTAAAAAGCAAGGATAACGAACTGCTTCTGTCACACGCGTTCTTTGATGGCATTATCTCGAGTAAAAGAAGATGGTAAAGGAACAAAACCACTTCTGGTACACGCGTCCTTTGATGGCATTCTCCCCGTACGACTTTCATAAATTTTTACAGGTTTGCGCCCTGTTGCCTCCCAAAAATAAAAAAACCTAATACGCCAAGAATGTTCCCTGTTCGTAGAATTGCGTCGAAAGTATGAAACTTCTAACCATTTGGTTAAAATATAAAATATCTAATTTTGAAACCGGATTGTTCACGTTGTTCTCGAACTGTTTCAGTATTCATTCTCTGTTGGAGCCCGTACATAGTATTCGACCTCCTCCAGGTGTACGGTTACGTGCCGACGACGCAGACCAACATGGCCGTGGCTACTTTCATTCAGAGCTTAACACCCTTGAATTCAGCCGCCAATCCTATTATATACTGTCTCTTCAGCACGTCATTCTGCAAAACTGTGCGGTGAGTATTCAGAACACCGAATATGGATTACTGAGAAAAGTTTCGTCGAAAGCTATTACCAGGGACTAAAAATACAAACGATTATTATATTCGACTCGAGTAAAATTGTTTTAGACTGTTATTTTTCTCTTCAAATCTAATATAAAATCGTTCGTTCTGGAGGAGGAGGTTTCGATCAAAGAGGATTTCTCGCGCACAAATATAGCGATAATTATTCGATAGGAACATGCAGGCGCTCTCGTGGGTTTCTGGATGGTGCGCGACGAATCCTCATCACTGTTTCGGCACCGGTGGTCCAAATAGTAGCACCAGGACAACGGTAACGATATCCTTGACTGCTCATTCCTCGCGGAGAAGCGATCACATCGCGATGCTACACTCCACCGCCAGGAAACGGGTGGTGGTGTCTTTGGTATAAACAGTGGACAATCTTAACGAGGTTCTGGCGTTTAGAACACTGTCCTTCGAACACTGCTTAGAACTCTTCCGCCGAACTTCGAGAGACCACAAGTAACACGCGTCTCTGAAATTATGTTCCTACGATCGTGGCGATTCGGGATCCTCGGACGACGTTGACGCTTTTTTATACCGAAACCTCGACCCTTCCGTTGCCGAATCGTAGCAAAGATTTCAAGGAATTGCTCGCGACCAATGGGATAACAACGACGCGAATCGCGACCAGCCATCAGAAACATAATTTACGAGACCGGCCATTGAAACGTGAATGAAACGAGTTTTTTATTCCCGCATTTATGTGATCAGTATTCTATTATAGGTCCGATCTTGCGTCGCGATGTCACTTATCCGATATTCGACCGTCGCGGAACTATTGCGAGTGAATAAATTGTTCGCCGATGAAGTCGCGCCATTAGACGTTTATAAAAATTCAGGAGGACGGAAGGGACATTAGCGCGACAATCGATCGACCTACGTGAAAAATGACACGCTCAAAGTATACATGTACATATATACATATCGAATGGACGGCAGCTTCGTGTATATACTTACGTATAACCATAAATGTGTAATATATTAATGTATTCCATCCGTTGCGATCGTCGCGAAAATGCTCGTCCTCGCGCAATCTTGCAATCTTGCTCGCGATCGATCCGACAATAATCGATACCGGTGCTGAAGTTAGCGATGGGAACAATATCGAACGTAACTATCCAAATTTCAAACAAAAAATTGCAGACCTTCGATATAAATTCGATCGAGTGAAAGACGTAAATGATTAGTATGACAGCAGTCCCATCGCTAGCCAAAGCTTCTCGAGATGCATCGAATTCAACGAACACATGTACAGTAAACCAAACAACCATCTTTGTACCTCCGAGCGATCGTCAGCACTCTGCGATCGGACTAAAAATCCGCGCAGAGATGCTTCTTTCGATTTTGATAAAATTTTCCCGTCGTTCAATTGGAAGTTTTGATCGTTTGCTTGAAATTATCGCGGAAGTTTGTAGCTCGAGCCTTCAACTTTTGTACCGTTACCGTTGGAAGTCAGAACGAAATCCTCGGAACCAGGAATGCGCTTAAACGCGGACGCAGGTGGGTGAAACGCGCGCAAGTAACCAACTCTCTAGAAGTTTGTATAATCGTTTAGGCGACAGTAGGCAAAGCTGTATTTGTGACTCGTCTATTTATTATTTATTGTACTCTGTTTAAAGGGAAAGGCAGAGGGTAAGAACGACACGACGCGTCGTGCTACGATATTCGTATTTTCATCGATAAGAGATATAATTTGTACATACTGTCGAATAAACTCATCCATAATGCGCTACGAGTGCACTGTTCCTTTTTCTTTAAATAAGATTGAGGATTTATTTCCAAGTAGATAATTTCTAAGTAGTAAAAGCTAAATTGCAAGTTCGTATTAATTATATCCTGCTATACGAGACGTTATCTAGGGTTTCAATTTTTCGTCGAAAACAGCTCTTATAAAGCACCGTTCACGAATGATTCTCCGGAGAAACGTGTGCAAGCGAATTTAACGTTCAATTTAGCGTTTCGTCGTCGTTGTTAATCGATTCGTGAAATTCGAGACAGACTAGCTGCACTTCGGTGATTACGTTCATTGCTCCATCACCGCGTTCGTCTGTAGCAAAGGGTAATTGCAAGATAGCATCCCCCGCATCGCGGCATAGAGGTAGAGATTTTCCGATATCGCGAACACGAAATGCTTAGCTTCTCTAATTAAATTTTAATACTTTTGAACACCGTTCGTTCCAACAGATTCATAACAGAATATTAATCCTCGTACAACGATGGCAGGGTCATTTTCACTCAGGTAAGGTTCGATTAAACGTAGATTTTCATCGCCACCGTTGGCTACCTCGTTTCCTCACCTTCATTTCTTGCAATTCCAATTTCCTCTAATTGATCTAATTGAAATACATTCCTAATACTTTCTCTGTTAAGAGTTTTGAGTATTTCGCCCGACTATACGGAGGCATAATTAGCGCAACAATTTGAAAGCTATTCAACGACAGAGCACCATTCTCTTGCGGGCCACGCTTTCCATTCTGTTTTATATAATTCCGTTCGTTCGCGAAACGTTTTCGAGCTCGTAAAGAATTTACGAGCTCACGATGCCACGCACATGCCGATCGAATCACGCGGCGAGAACGGAACGCATTTCGCAGTCGAAACGAAATAAAATTTCGTCGCGCTCCGCCATTTCCTTTTACGGCCTACGCTGTGCCGGCTGTAAAATCCAGCGGTGCGGAGGCGCCATGATAAGTCAGATGCCGGTTGAACGATCGTTTCGCCCTTTTTATCGTCACTTATTTACTCCCCTGTCGGCCGGAACGATCCATCACGATGACGAACAGGGCCCGAATTAATTCTAATCCGACATCACAGCCCCCGAACGATCTTCACCCCGGCAGTTTCGTTTCGAGATCTCGGTTTCGAACGAGTTTAAATTACCAGGATCGTTCAATAAATAGACAAAAGCTCTGGTTCGAATAATATCAAAGATAGACTTTAAGAATGAATAATTTGGAATAAAAGCCCAACCGTGGCACTAAATTCTAATTTAACTATTAATAAATATAAAATTAATTTGTAGACTCAATATAAATGGATCTTGAAAATTTAATATCGTTCGAAGGAAACAAATGCCAGCTACGAGAGATCGTACGAACCTATCCGCGAAAATTTCAGGTCGACGAGGGCGTAAATGTCACGTTTGCAACCTTATTTCGGTTTAAAAGACCACTATCGATATTATGTGAGGGTCCAAGAGGGTAGAAGAATTTCTCGTGATCCAGGTCACAGGAGACCTGTCGATCCTAAGCTTGGCTCTCCTTCGAGATCGAATCTCCCATATTATTGACAAGGGAAAACGTCCGAATGCGATTGGACAAATTTCTTTACGTTGTTCATTTAAGAAGAAATTGGTTTCGAGATGTCGTGCGTGCACTATCAGGCAACGGATCCTTCCAGGGAAAGATGCTGCTACGACACCCAGTACAATCGTTATGCATCTCCGTCCTATACGCCCAGAATTCGAACACCGGAAGCTTATCGAAGCGGTATGCAATCCGCTTACGTTCCTAGTTAACAATGGATTCGTGTTATTTGTCGGTCCAACCATTGTTGCATCCTTCAATAGACTTTGCACCGAGGTATTCACGGCCGTATAATGCTTACACAGAATACACCAAACCGAAGCTTCCATCCCTAACTCGAACCTGGTTCGGTTCTCAATTTTGTCAAATAAACGGGTTATTATAGTTAAGTAAAATAACTAGGATTATTCTACGAAACTAAGTTGCTCTTATGATGCTACAATGTACACAAATAACACACTCACTGGTTCTTACACTATCACGAAGAATTCAGTCGTTCCCGTGTACTTTCAGGCTATTATGCCGGATGGAGACCTCTCGAGTTTCAATCCAACAACGTTGAATACTCCACCGCAGGTAAAATGAAACTAATGGCAGAACATCAGTGTCTTATTCGAAATCGACGGAAACCAATCCCCCTCTCGCGAAAGGTAGCCGAGTACCTGCGCTCTAAACCCAACAGTTTGAAAGTTATTACGGTTAAAGTTGTTATGATAGCGACGCGTATCTACGACTGTGTAAATCGTCGATTTGGAATAAGGTTAAAATGGTAGTTGAAATTGGGTAAATATGTATACGTCCGTCGATAGAGGTAACTGGGTTTGATGGATGATATGTGTTTGCAATTCGAAACGTCGCATGGTATCGACAGTTCGTTCGTGTCGCGCTCTTTTAGCGTGTTTTTCTCGGGACGTGTTCCTGACATTACGGGCATCAATTTATCGTTAAATCGCGATATCGAAAAACGTTTAGAACGAAAATTGAGTAATAGAATAAACTTCCTGTCATTCCATGATGATTCTTTTTAAATAAAATCGTCTAGATTTTCCTTTTCCACGTAAGAAAAAGTAACTCGCGCGTACGAAAATGTCGACCAGCGCCGCGACACGGGATTCCCCGAAATCTAATCTAAAATCTGTAAATCCCCGTAGCCAGAGGCGATCCGCAGTCTCTGGATCCTCGAATGCAACCCGGAAGGATGCCGCCGTGCAAGCAGGAGGCGATAAAACACGCGGACGCGCTCGTCTTCGAGAAAATGCAAACGAGAATGAAGCTTCTCGAGGACAGCAATACGGCTACGCAGTCGCGCAATCAAAACCTTATAGCCGAGAACAAAGCCCTATCGTCCCGGTGAGTATTTGCGCGAACAATGGACAACCTTAATCGATATTCCCTTCGCTGATCCCTCGAATACGTGCACGGATCTGTACACGATGGAAAAGATGATTGAGACAAGAAGAATATGCCTTTGTCCCTCGCCCGCGTCATCAGCGACACGTTTTTCTCGCGAATACAAATTTTAACTGCGCACCCTGTTACAATATTTGTTACACATATCAATAATCCCAATTTATGTGATTGTAAGTCTGGAGATGGAACAGAGCGAAGTGAAAAGGCTCGAGAATAAGATGGCATCACTGCGAGAGGAGCTGAATGACGAGAAGTCGAAGCTGACGGAGATGATAAAAGCAGCGGAGGAAGTCGGTGCATAAACGTTCACGCGCGATCAACTCGTATTAAAAATGAAGTCTTCCTTCTATTTCAGAGAAAAATCATGCCGACGATGAGGGACAGCGGAACGTCGACGGCCAACGTTCTTTCTAGATTCGATCGAGGGGTGCAAGTATGGGCAGTGTGCATGGGATGTCAGAAAAAGTTGGATGGTTGTGAGAAAAATCCACCCACTGTCACCATTACCAAGTGAATGTTCCATTCCTTCTTTAATCCGCTAATCTTTTAACGAGAGAAATTTTCTGTATCGTAATAGATCGGAACTGGAAGAGCTGGAGAAGGACATGCGGACCCTTCGAGACACCATAATCGCTAGAGAGGAGGCGTGGGACAAGGCGGTGGAACGCGAGCAAAATTATAGGCAACAATTATTACGATTGACCACAGAAACTATCACGGCTCGCCATCTATCCGAGACGCGTCACGAAGAGCTTGAAAATGCATCGAAAACGCTCACGGTAAATAAATTTAGAAATCTGCAAAGCTCCATCGATGTTAACACTAAACCTACCGGCATTTCATGTATACCCATACATAAATACACAATTTATGACGCAGTTTTATTGTATACCAGTCGTATAATCAAAAGGAATTGTTGAAACATTTTTATAATTTCAAAATTAATATAAAAGATAGCAAAAATTACAGTGGATGATATGGTCATTAAGTAGAGGATGAAATGCCCTTTAAAATGAGCGTTTGTACGAGTCGATAGCTTTATTAGTTCCGGAGATATAGCGATTTCAGTTTCGGGTCGCTGCGGTGGCTAGTTTCGAAGATACGTCGCGTGGTCAATGAACTTACTACGGCCTTGTCAAGGTCGTTGACCGCACGTGATCGTAGTAAATAGTAAACGTGACGTCACTCAGTCACTCGGGCAGTGGGTCAACGTGCGACAAGGAGGTCCGACGCGTTAGACGAAGACAGAGACAGTCGAATTAAAAAAATTACCTTTTACATAAATTACGATATCTCCGAAACGGAAAGTCCGATCGTCAAAAACAAAAAACCATTTTAAAGGGGAGGCTTTGCCGCTTCTAACAGAGGCTCAATAATTAATAAAGCGCTAATAGTTTCAGAACTGCACGCGTCTAAATTTTTAATATTTTTAATACGAGCTGTTAGACTGTTTTAAGACAGTGGAAACTGAAGATTCTCTCCTTTCGTCTTTGCTATATATATATTTCCTATTTACATCGAAAGCTAACCAGAATTTGGTACCGAATTTTGTCCAGTTTTTTACAAAAAAATTTAAATCATTCAACCGGTCAGTTCCAACAGAGAATTATAGTTCGTGTTTCGTTCACTGGTCGTTTCCTGTGCAAATCTGTACGTAACGTTGTCGTTTAATTGCTTGGAATGATTGATACTAACGACATCCTCTACGATCTAGTTTTTACATTTCTACAACAAAATGTCGACATTCTGAGGCAAGAATTTAATTTTTTTTGCAAAAAATAGTTATTTGAAATATGCAAAACATTAAAACAACCTTGGTGGACTTGCAGGAAAAGGAATCGGAATTGAAGTCGCTTCAAAAGGACAATCTATACTTGACCAAGCTAATAGCAAAATTATACAACAATCATCAAAGGTAAAGGACTCTCCTGCTTGTATAATTAAATTTGTTGTATATAACAAATAGATTGCACTGCAGTCTGTGAAACTAGTCTGTACGATTATCTCTTGCGAACGAAGAATTACATTCCAGAAGATCCCGGACGACCTGGTCCAATTTTTCCAGAGCTTCGCGCAACCAGCCGAAGTTTCCACTTAAAAACTTTCCCTGTAATCATTAATGAGATCTAGACTGCGCGTAATCGCGCGTAGCAGAACTAAGTCTGCGCTTGTCTTGGCTTTAAAAGTCGCCGAGGATCTTCCTACCCGTTTCGCGTTCGTTGGGCTGCACAATTACGAATAGAACAAAGTTGGAAAGAATAATTAACCAAACTCTTAGACGAGTTTACTAACAGTTTTCAATTACTCTGAAAATTGCTTCGAAAGCGTCTTCCTTTTCTATTGGATTTTCTAATAAGAGCAACGAAACTTTGCACTACTTGAAATAATCTTATTTCAACGTTGATGCAGATTATTTAGTTTCTCTTACTATATCTGGGTGTAATAACTGTTCAATTATCCTGTGCAATTTACAGCCGCAGAGGACAAGAGGAATGTCGAAGAAACAACTTAGCGGGAGATATAAATGAGAAGGAACAAAAGTTTATCGAGGAAGTCGTCCAGCGAGTATCGACTGGTAAAAGCAAGCAGAAACCGAAGTCGAGGTCTGCCTATTCGGACAGAACCCCCAATCTCGGCACTTATCAGGCCAGTCCTCGTGATAAAAGTTCGAGAACAACGAAGGAGCAAACGGGATCTTTCAGAGAACCGAAACGTTAAACCAAATATAATTGTATAGAGAGAAAGAATGGGCTGTTTCGCGTTATTAAAATTTGTTTATTATTTGTTTAGAGATAAATTTGATTTGCTTAACTATTTTAAATAATTTACTTTAGGAATATATCAATTCGATAACATTATAGAATTAGCATACAAATTTGCCACATATTTCTGTTATTCTTACACCTTTTGCATAATATTCTTTCAATTAGAATAAACATTTAAAGACAGTTTAACAACTTATCGTTTATATCCTACTGAGGTATCCTGTCCCTAAGATATGCAAGCACTTCTTCCGTAGATTTGGCTAATATTGCTTGTCTCGGTTGCTTGAAACAATTTCCAGATAAAGATAACATTCTGCAAAAATGTACTTTTGTAACTATTTTAAATAATTTAATATGTATACTCGACACACCTTAGATTCTTTAAATTGCCAAGTTCCGGCGGCACATGTCCGATGTTATTGTTAGCGAGATTCAATATTGCGAGCTTTCGCAATTTTTGTAAGGATAATACGTCAATTTCGGATATTAAATTGTCATTTGCTATAAATATTTCCAACGATTCAACATCATATATGGATTCTGGTATTTCTTTGTACCTGTGCAATATATCGATACGTTAATATGTATTTTTTGTAACACATTAACTGTTACTTTCATCTGCTCTTTGGCATATTAATTCGAATATGGTAACTATTTATATAGTGTGAGTACGCAATACCTGTTAAACGAAATATTAATTTCTCGCAAGTATTTCAGTAAGCCAATGCTAGAAGGCAGCGATTGTAAAAAGTTTTTGCTTAAATCCAAAGCTTGCAAATATTCATACTTTTCACCAATCCATTCTGGTATGTGTGTTAGTTGATTAGAAGTTAGTTTCAAATCACCAACTTTTGCAATTATCGATAACTGTTCGGGCACGGCAGATAGCTTATTTCTACTTAGATCCACTGTGCCTACATCTGCTTTACATGCATCTTCCAAGACTTCCTGCGGTAATTCAACAAGATTCTGCCCGGACAAACTAAGTAATTTTGTACTTTGCATCGTATATCTAAGATGTTATAAATAATTCCAAAATTACTTATTAGTAATAATACTTTTTTATGCAAACATCCGCCCATACACGTACTTATCTGGATAAATATTTGTATCTGCATCTGTTATTAAATATTCGTTTGTACGTAAATTTGTACTGTTAATGCTCTGTCGTATATGCTTCAAAATACGAAATGTACCGCATCGTATTATATCGGCTCTAACATTTTGTACATCGTTTCCTTCAATTATAAATTGTTTTAAATTTGGCATTATACCGACATAGCTTGGTATCCTATAAAATAAAGGTCATTCTTAAAATGTTTCTCTTTTTTAATATGCAATGATATACATATGTAAAATAACATACATAGTTAAATTGTTGTATGATAAATCGAGAATTTCCAGATTTACCAATTTTATTATTTCCTCCGGTATTGCATCAATTTTGTTATTTCCTAATGTTAATATTTTCAATTGTCCTATACCTTCGAAACAAGACATATCAATTTCCTAGAAATGATATGAAATGAATTTTGCAGAGTTCCTATTACTTATGACATGCTACCTATTTTTTTCAGCAAGAGATTGTTATATTCTAAAATACATATATCATAATACGTACAGTAATGTCATTATCAGCCAAGTGTAATACTTTTAAAAGTGTACAACCAGACAGGTCAGGAAATGTCGTTAATTTATTTGTTTGCAACATTACTGTTTCTATCTTCCGCAATTCACCCAGCGGCGGCAACTCTTCCAATCGATTATAGCTTACATCTAGCTTTTGTAACACTATTTTTAAAAGAATACACCTTGTATGAAATTTCCATATATCTCAATACCAATACTCAAGGTCAGGCATTTAAGTTTAGACAAATCATTAAATGCCTAACCCTGTATTGATATAAAAACATGAGTCATACCTCTCATACTTGTTAAATCAGATGGTAATTCTTTTAACATGTTGTGACTTACATCCAAAGAAATCAATCTTACTAAATATCCCATTCCCAGTGGCAGTTCAGACAAATTGTTACATGACAAATCCTACATATACAAAAGTATTTCAAAATGTTATTACATATAACTATACTAGCATACATAAAAATTTCGTTATAATTTACCAGATGAGACAACATTATCAAGTCACCAATTGCAGGGTTTAGTTCTCTTAAAGTATTGTTCTTTAACCATAATTCATGTAATTCATTCAACTTGTAAAATTGATGTGGTAAGTTTTCTAACTTATTATTTGATAGATTTAGTACTTTTAATTTACTTAAATTTCCAATCTCAGGAGGTAAATCTTCTAATATGTTATCGTGTAACTAAGAAAATTACATAATTTCATTGAATCAAACTTTCTATATAGGATATAGGAAATGTTATAACAAGTTGAACACATACAAGTAATGTTGTCAATTCTGTTAAACTTTCTACTTTTGAATCAATTTTAGTTAAGCTATTATGACTTAAGTCCAATATTTTAAGTGGCTCCTGTTCCCACCAACGTTCATCTTTATGAACATAGTCGAGCTCAAAATGTAGCTCCTTCAGCTCTTCCTGTGTTAATTCATTTATACTCCATACTCTATTAGGTACTGCAACATATTTCATTAATCTCAACATGTTATAAATTTTCTACAATTATCTAATTCTGAATGTATGTTTTATTACACATATAAATTCTACAACTAATAACAACTTACCTCAACCCATATTTTTGATGATCTTGTATGAGATTATTGTGAATATTGCTTGTTCTATCACATTATTCATAGTCTAACATGCAAAGCTATCTATGAATTAAAATTAAAAAAAAATGATTTCATGGCTATAACACAACTGAAAATATTATGTACTATGTTTATTCAATTATTCAAACAGGATGTCTTACTTATTGGATAGGTGCAAGAATACAAGAAATGATATGTAGCAAAACATTGTATTTGTAATAATTTTAATTTCTCAACAATGAAACAATAAAAAATGAAATGCTGCTGATAAGCATGAAGGAGGTAGTGCAAATTTTTCTAGACTATAGATGTTCCCTGTCCACAAAGAAATAATACCTGAATTGAGTCTGGCTAATGTAACATAATATATTTTATAATACAATTTTGTTACTACGAAACAATGGAACAAAATAACAATATAAACAGTCTGTCATTCTCGATATTCATATAATGAATGCAAATTTTAAAATACATTTTTGATATAAAGTTTTAAAAAACGCTGAAACGACGTAAATTAAGAACCATCAAAACAACAATACGACAAATATGAACGGAGACATGCACGTTAGATCATTTACGAGTGCAACATCGGTATATCAAGCATTTAGATGATTTCGAAATGTGTTTAAAAATATATCTGGACAACATTTATTTCATTTTTAAATGTTGCAAATACCCGTGTAGAGACCTCTCGATGAGAGGTTTAAATTTCCGGTCTTTCTCGCAGATATAATGACAACTTCGGATAATTCAGCGTTATCGTCATGTTTCGTTCGTTGTTTATACACTGCTAAATGGTTAATCCTTTTTTTAACACCACTCATACTGTACTTATTACGAACATTGTTGACGGATTGATATCCGCAATACAGAATGATTTAATGATGAATTACCCCCCACTTTTTCATGACGCAACGTAACTACGTATAGTAGTTACAATATTATAAATACATAGTTGTATCACAACCAAGGTAACAGAAGTATAGAACACACGTTACAGGCACAGTGTAAAGAGTTTTTACTAAGAACCGACTCTGTTTCCCTACTTATGTAAGTTGAAGTAAGAACCTCTGATATAATCCGTTAGGTGCTCTAGTGATACATTAGTTTATAGTAGAGATTCCTATTTCACGTGTAGTAAATGAACCCAAATTTCATCTATGTAAGTACGTGGATCCATATCCATAAAACCTCTGGTCTGAATAGAATTGTAAGTACTGAATAGAAGTAAGAAAGAAACCTGAAATAGAATTCAAATTTCCCTCCATGAATGCCAGCATCGGCCATGACAATCCCTTTCCTTCTGTCGCCCCCTTCAACTATTTAGTCTGTAAACAAGTCGTTTGGAGCGCTACCACAGGACCAGTAAAACATATGGGTTTCCTATAATGGGAGTACTTTACCCCTGGTCGTTTCTAGACTCGAGTAGCATAGAATAATGATATTTTAACTGTTAAATATGATTGTGTTTACGTAATAAAACATGTAAAGAATTTAATAATAATGTTATATATATATGCTTTTATTATATTTAGCATCTAATTAAGAATTCTTCGTTATGTGATTAATGTTTCACTACTAACACGTCGTACAGTTATCCATAATTTATTATTGCGATACTAACTTTCTTTCGAGAAATTTAAACGATAGTTGGTGTTGTCATTTTTACATCGATATTTGTTTTAAAAAACAGCAAAATGAAGAGAGTTTTACGTAAAACGAGTCAAACGATAAAAGAAATTACAACAAATAATACACTAGTTACAAACAATGATGCAAATACGAATAGTAATAAACGAAAGGCTAATAATCTTCTGCTACCAGGAAAGAAAAAACAAAAAATAAATACAGAGAACATTATTACAGATAATGAAGAGTCAATAGATTTTCAAAAAAAAATACCAAAAGGTAAAAATACAAAAATTAAAAAGGAAGAAGCACAAAGCCTCAGCAATGAGAACTTTAAAGATATGCTGAAAGATGTGAATCAATTAAATTTTAATAACATAAAATGCAAAGATTGGACTGATGTAGATTATGTGAGCGAGGTAAACAATGTTGAAAAGCATATAGTACAAAATGTGGTCAAACTTTTCAACGAAGAAAATACAATTCCATTTATTGCAAGATATAGAAAGAACATGACTGGTGGTATGGAACCAGATAAATTGAGAGCATTGAAAGAAAGTTTTGATCAGGCTAAAGTGATTAAAAAACGAGCTGCATCTATATTGAAAAGTATTGATAAATTAGGACAATGGACACCTAATACACATTCTGCTATTATGTCTGCCAAATGTTTGGAGGATCTAGAACATATATATTCATTCTTCAAGCCTGCATCCAAGCGATCCTTAGCTGAAAGAGCAAAGGAAGCAGGTTTAGGGCCTATAAGTAATGCTGTGTTACAGGGTCAGACATTACCTCATTTATCATCTCTTATCAATTATGAAAAGGATGGTTTAAAATCTGAGAAAGAGATTAAAGAAGGTATTGTACATATAATAGCAGATATAATTTATAAGGATAAAGCAGTGTTTGATAGGGTCAAGGAACTACAAAGTGAATCTATTATAAAAATACAAACTAAAGAATGTAAATCTAAGAAATCTTCAGATATTAAAGAATCTAAATCCAAGAAATTATCAAACACCAAAGAAAAAGCTGTTAATAGAAAGTATGAGACTTATTATAATTTTATTGGAACAAACAAAACTATTAGGCCTCATCAAATATTAGCCATTAATAGAGGAGAGGCACAAAAAATTCTTAGAGTGAAAATCATCTTGCCAAATTTTCTTGAGAAAGCATTTAAAACACACTGTTGTAAACAATATAAAGAAGCTATGGCATCATCTAAATTCCATGGTATGATGATGAATGATAGCATTGACTATGCTTATTCGAAATTTATTAGCCCTTTGATAATTCGTCGCGTTCGAAATGAAATGAAACAAAAAGCAGAGACAGCATCTATCGAAGTTTTTGTAACTAATGTTAAACAATTGCTCCTCACTCCGCCTGTACGCGGGAAAATTATTCTTGGCATAGATCCGGGATTTGTTCATGGTTGTAAACTTGCAGTAATTTCTGAACATGGAAATGTACTCGAAACGGGCGTGATATATCCGCACAATAAGACGAAAAACTCGTACGAAGAATCAGCTAATATTTTAATAGGTTTAGTAAAGAAGCATAAATGTACAGTGCTAGCATTGGGTAATGCTACCGCGTGCAGAGAAACCGAAGCGTTTTTAAACAAATTAATAAAATCTGACTCGTCCGGTTCGATAGATATTTCGTACACGATAGTGGACGAATCAGGAGCATCAATTTATAGCTGTAGTACTAAAGCAAAATCCGAGTTCCCAGACCTTGATACCAACGTTGTGTCTGCTGTTTCTATAGCAAGGCGTCTACAAGACCCACTTGCAGAATTAGTCAAAGTAGACCCTAAGCATTTAGGTGTAGGAATGTATCAACACGACTTACCAGAGAAGGAATTAGTTGCTGCATTAGACGAAGTAAATACGAAGTTCTGCAGATTTATTATTATTTAAATAATTAATAGAAATAAATAACGAAATAAAAATTATTGCAGGTAATCTCGGAGGTCGTGAGCTTTGTTGGGGTAGATGTAAACACCGCGTCTGAGTATCTTCTAAGAAGAGTTGCTGGTTTAAATTCATCTAGAGCAAGCAATATCATAGAATGGAGAACTGAACATGGAGCATTCAGGAATAGACAACAGATATTAGACGTGAAAGGCATCGGGAGTAAAACATTTGAACAGAGTGCTGGATTTATCAGAATATTGCCAGAAACTTCAATGACTAATAATTCAGTAAAAGTTAAAGATGCTAACGGTTCGAAGAACGTTCCTAATTTATTGGATCAGACATGGATCCATCCTGAGTCATATACAATAGCCCAGCGATTTTTGAAGCATTGCGATTGTAAGTTAGAAGATCTTGGAACCACCGCGTTCATTGAACGAATAAAATCATTTGCCAAAGAAGAATATGCCGCTTTAGCGACAAAGTTTGGTACAGACGAGACAACGATGGAAGTAATAGTTAAGGGTTTATCTATGAAAAGAGACGAAGACATAAGATTAAAGAGTAGTTTTCCATTGTTCCGAAATACCATGCTTACGATTAACGATATAAGTCCCGGAGCAACGTTAACCGGTGCCGTGCGAAATATCACGCATTTTGGAGTATTCGTGGATGTAGGAGTGGGCAGAGCAGCACTCATACCAACTAAATGGATGAAAAATAATACAGTTTCGATAGGTCAGCGCGTCGAAGCGAAAGTACTTACAGTTGATATTGATCGTAACAGAATTAGCCTAGAATTAATGCAAGTTTTATAATAAATTATATAATATGTGTGGATTGTATACTGCGAAATTTTATAATTTATTACGAATCTTTTGAAAATACATTTTATTTTTATACGTGAGTCTCTGTCTTTTGGAAGGTAAAGTACAATTCAAGATCTGTGGAATCAGATACGTTATAGAGAGTGGATCATTCGATGTACATTTGTAATTTAATGTTTTCCCCCCCGCAGAATAAAGATCTCTCGTGGACTCTATGAATAAACATAAGTGCAGGACGTATTATACGTTGAACTGGCATTTGCATATTTCATGCGCCGCTTGATACGAATTAACGACTAACAATAAATTGTCCCTCGTCACTACCGCGCATTGACCTGGAATTAATCATTCCACCGAACAATATATGTGCATTTACACGTTTATTAGTCGTTTTGATCAAATCATCTGGAAACTCGTGTCCCTTCATCGTATACTACAATTATCGTTTGTTATATTGCAATTAGATTCTGTCCCCTTGAAAACTGTTATAATTATAGGTTTAGGTTTTGTAAAAAGTTATTCAGAATAGAAGTTCTTCGTAACAGTTTCGACCAGAACTTTTATATAACGGTTTCAAACAATTATTTTCGGAATGTTTCCAACCCCTATCACGAAAGTAATCTACTATTCTGAGCAGAGATAAAAATAATGATTTCAAACGTACTTGCGAGTCTGATTCGTTAAAATCATTAAAATTGGCGAGCGCGAGCGGAGCTCCCTACTTTCCTGAATAGATGTCGCCAATTGCACTCGTATAATTACCAGTCCGATTTCAAGTGTACACATATCGCAAGCCTCAATTTCCACTTAATATTCTCGCTTATGTATTCAGGCTGTGAACCGTACCATTTAGGAGACGGTTCGCTGAACGGAATAGATGGTGCAAATGGAAGCGTCGCGACCATGCGACGCCAGTTATTAAGATTTTATTATTCCTACGTATCATCGCAGTTACTTGACGCAAGTTTTTTCTCGGAATATTTAATAATTACTTTACTCATACTTCAACGTTGCGACCACCAAGATTCTGGTGTCACTTGCAACATTACCAGCAGGCTATAGAAAGCGATCATAGCGCTTATTATGGTAGGAAATGAAATTACAGGAACTTTTTTGTTTTTTAATGAAATGAAATCAGTCCGGTCCAGAATTGGGAATCAGTCGATTAACAGATGCGATTGAAAATTTCGTCGTCAGACTTTTTCAGATGATACTTGGTACCAGAACACGTTGCGAGATATTAATCTAATAATTCGATCCCAGACAGCAGAAAATGGAACACGGCAATCTTTCCTTGCTTGGGATTTGTATTAGTATTTGAATGTAATAGCCAGTGGTTAAAACTAACCCTTGCGTCGTCTTTTTACAGGCGACGAGACTGCACTGTTTCTCCTTTTTCTCTGTCTGGGATCTCCCACCAGACTCTCTGCAACTCGTCAGACAATGGCTCGCCCGCAGCACCCGTTGCAATATGCTGGACTCACCTACGGCCTATGCACATCTACTATTGCAAGTCTCGGAACACTTTTACCGAAAGTGGTAAAAGTTACGCGCGGCCTTGGATCCCGATACAGTGAATCAGAGATAATCCATAGCTAATATAGCCACAATCAGTCGATCGAAGAAAAATACAAAAGCCTTTTGCTTGATTTTACTACGTACGTAAATTATAGCCAAGAGATTCGCAACAGAGGTTCGAAGAAGACAATAGTCTCTATTTCCATGCGCTATAATAACGTTGATGAATCGTTTCTGCTTCACCCGGTGAGACAAAAGGACTTGGATCCTATGTACGACCCTCTAACAGAGTCGAGGTCCGGAAAACGTGTTCCCAGATAAAAAATAAAAACGTGAAAATCTCTTGGTTCCCATGAGGGTACGCGCGTAGCCGGTATTAGCGCGCCAAGCTCGCCTCGCGCGGCCTTTAAATATTTAACAAATTCAATCTTCCCCCTCTAGTCGTGGTCGTCGGGACTTCTTGGCAAAACGCCACCATGTATACTACTTTCTCGCGTGCGCGCCGATCCCGGTTCGCTTGTTACGATAATGCATCTGTAATTTCCCGCGGCTATATTTAGTACCTGTTTTAGCACGTGTTAGCGACCCTCTACTATGAAAGATAGTGGATGTTCCATCTGGAATTTAGTAGCTCTCGTGCTCGTACGTCGCATCATTGTGACGTTCGCCACTTCGCCTAAAGGCAGCACACGGCCTTTTGATGTCTTCGCTGAGACCACGTCGCGTATTTTGTCAATTACGTATCTTATCCGTTCATAAATTACACCAGTATCTCGAATTGGAAGCATGTTGCACAGTGTTACATGCTTTTATTTTATGTTACTCTAAATATATACAAAATGGGGTAGACGAAAGCATCGAATTAAAAATTTACCGGAAATTAATAAGATATTCATCGTTGGAGTACTTTCTGAGATACGCCCTCGCCCTAGCCCTAGTTTCAGCCTGGCAATTCCTCACAAGATTTCGCACCATTGGCGAGTAACTCGACGCGCGGCTCGAGCAGTATTTCACTAGGAAACTTTCCTCCGTCGTTCAGTCAAAACTGGCTCGGCTGTGTGAACAAGTTTCCTAAATCAAAGGCGAGGGTGTTTCATCGGATCAGGTCTCTCGCGAGCTTTAACGATGAAATATCTACGTAGCCGCGTTCGCTGGACGCAAAGAATAAAAAATGGAAGAAGATATATGGAGGGTAAAAAGCCTCTCCTTAGAATTTGTTTCCGCCTTATAATTTCAACGAAGAAGTTGTTTTACTTGGAATACTTAAGTAATATTTGTTAATTCGACAAATATTGTTTTCTTCTTACATATTCTGTGTCATTGGACAGAGTTGTTTGTCAGACGTGTGTCTACGCACGGTTTGGCGACTGCGACGAAACAGTAGAGCGCACAAAGGAGGAACGAGAAACCCGGAAACAGGAAAACAACGTTCTCGAAGTCGGCCATACGCGACTCGCTTGATTCACGGACTTGCGCGTGTCTTGTAAAATTCATCGGAGATTCGAAAGACAATGGACGGGCCCGGAATGGAACGAGCTTAGAAGTTTCCCGATAGGAAGCATAGAGCCCGGCAGATTGCTTGCTGAAACTTTGAACGCGACCCGGAACGAAAACCCGTGTTTTCTGGAAACGATCTCCCCGACCGAGAACACAATAACGAAATAAAATCAGCGAGCACGATGCGTTCTCGCAGCTGAGCCACGTGTTCGCCTACCTTTGGCCTCTCGTCTAGCAATACGTGCACGTGTCGCCGGCGCTCTCGTCAAAGCATTCGTATCCACGAAACGTTTTCAGCTTCGTGTCCATTGTTCACACAGAGAACATTGTTTCAGCCACGAGTCCGCGAATCCCCGCGCGTTTCCTTTCGCGACTCGCTATTGACAAATTAAAACCTTGCGAAAAGTATAAGGTGATCCGTGACAGGAATTGCTTATCAAGAAATCAAGAAAACTGATACAGTAGTGTTCCGATTAACCGACATCCGGTTATCTGAATAACTATCATAGAAGGCGGAAAAATTTTTCGGCGAAAAGCAAAAATTTCAAATCGTCCTGAAAAAATTATTTTTGGTTGTAGGGGTCAATTACAATAATTTTTGGTGAATAGACATACCCACGAAATTCTACGCATTTTCAAGAAAAAAATTGCGGTTTGTCCGAAAAGTACCCAACCACATTGAATATCTTAACCAGCTCTCCTTTTGTACCGAACAAACCGCCTTCTGCTCGCAGAAAAAGTTTTATTGCGGTCATCTTCGTTCTTTTTTCAACTCTCACCTGGATGCCAGGCCATTTCGACTCGGTTCTGACTATTTCCGGATTCTTTGTTTAAAAGAACTATACGACGGCAACAAAGTGCTTATTCTCTCCTGTATCTCTGTGGAACATTTGAGAAATTTACGCGACTCTTCTAAGCATCTTGCGATGATATCTTGTCAGCAGTTATTTATTTTTAGGAACCCTTCAACCGCTGTCAGTCGTTAGAGCGACAGTTTCGAGAGTCGAAATCCGTTCATATCGCGGACGATAAAATGTCCGACGGTGGGAGGAGGAATCATCGGGGCATTAAGTACAACCGCAAACCTTCGAGCAGAGGAAACAACAGACTGTTCCGTATGTTTGCAGCGGAGGCCCACAATGCCATAACGACAAAATGCAGGCAGATATTGCGCGCGGGTTGAGGCTGTAGGTGCAGCCCCGGGTGAAAAGTAGTTTCAGAGCGTCTACTCTAACAATGGCGCGCATGAAAAGAGAAGAAAAAGCGGGACGCATGAAAAGCGTACCGGAAAATAAAGGGAAGATAGCGAAAGCAAAAGAACGACGGAAGCGGAGAATTCAATGCCAAGGTTCGGTTGCGAAGTTAAATCGATATTCGATATTTTCAGCTGGCAGATCGATATATGTCGCGTCAATGTTATCGCGTTTCGCGTGCTCGATGATGGCCTTTCCTTTCGCTGTTGATGCCACGTGCACCCGCGGGCATTTTTCGGTAAATAATTAATGATTGCGTACGCGACACCACGAATGCGCGAAACAGGTGTGCGGTACAGAGAACGCAAAGAAACACCGGTACGTTAATAAATATTTAACACGGTCTACCGTTTTTGGTACGCGTTAAAATTCATTTCAGCGCCAAACGATTCAATGTGTTTCCCAATAATCTGTATCAATATCTTTTCGTTAAAAAAAAAATTACAAAAGAATGGCGATAATTTTGAAAATTCTCAAAGATGCGAATCATAATATTCGTAGGTGTGAACAAGATAGTTTGGATAAAAAAAAGTTCTACCCTAAGCACGTGGTTATTGGATAATACAACCCTGATCGCGGATACAATGAAATTCTTATCTTTTGTAGTTTTCTCCCCCGTCGCGCATTACGTTATTTACCTCCCTCTGCGTTCGAAGTGCTTTCGAAGATTATAATACTTTAGCCTGACAACCGAAACGGTCGATGCGTGGTGGCGTCTTCGGT